ATGTTGAAATCCTAACCCTTGATGCCTCAGAATGTGGAAGTATTTGGAGATTTATAGAGGTGATTAAGGTAAAATTAGGTCACAAAGGTGGACATAATCCAGTAAAACAGGTGTCCTGGTAACAAGAGGAGATTAAGACACAAACATGAACAAAATGAAGATCACGTGGAGACAGAGGGAGAAGATGACCATTCACAAGCCAGAGTGAGAAGCCCCAGAAGACACCACCCCTGGCAACACCTTGCTCTTGGACTTACAGACTCCGGAACAATGAGGAAAAAAGTCTATTGTTTACATCACCTATTCTGTAGTGCTTCATTGTGATGGCCTTAGCAAACATTCTCACCTATTAGCTCTCATCCTTAGATTCCAATAGCCATGTCTCCTCACCTTCTCTATAGTCTCCTGCCCAGATTTTCTTCCTGGGCTATCCTCTTCGCAGAGCATGTTGAAGGCATTAAAAAGGCCCAGCTGGAAGCTATCCTGAGCAAAGTCTCTCACTGTTTCTATAGAGATGACACACAGCCTCAGAGGGTTGATAAAGATAGAGCCCTTTGATTCAGGTCCAGGCATAGGACAAACTCAGACAGAAGATTGAAGTTGACCTGGAGGGTGAGCCAGATCTGAGGCTTGGGGGCCATTTTATAGCTTCCACAATGGAACATGGGCTCAGGCAAAGCTGAGGCACCAAGGAGGTGCCATGTCATCAAATATCTAGATCATGAGCTTTGGAAACAGACCGACATTACTCACAGATGCAGAGGGATATAGTGACATGGGGAGGAGAGTCAGTTTTGGAGTTAGGCTATTGGCATTTGACCCTGGGTTGTACCATGTGAGAGGATTTCTTGTTTGGTTGGGGCCTCAGGTTTTTTCATTTATAAAAATGTGTGTGTAGGGGGGATACTTATAGGATTGTCATTAGAATTCCATGAATAATGCATACGTAGGACACTGCCTAGCACATAGTTTTAATGTAAGCACTTGTACTTACATTGTACTTGTATTGTATATGACTGTTCTAAGCACCATACAAATTAGTTCATCTACTTCTCATGTCTACTCTATGAGGTGGGTACAATTGTTATCTCCACCTTCCAAGTGAAGAAACAAAGCAATAGAGATATTAAGTGACCTACTCAAAGTAAATGGTAAAATTGAGATCCAGACCCTGAGGTCTTGACTTCAAAGTTTACCCTCTAATTTACTCTACTAGGCAGTCCTCAGAAAATATTATAATTATTATTAGGAGTGTAACTTTCAACATGTTCTTTGGTCTCTATGAGCCTCAGTCTCTTCACCCATAAATTGGGTATTATTAAATAAAATATATTATTAAGTAGCTTATTCAATTAAAATTTCAGGAGGCCATTGTTTTAGGCTAAGCTCCTGCCTTAGGCCAACAGACTAGACCATCAAAATGGTGTTATTTATGCTAGAGTTCCACTTTACCAAGCCAAAGCTAAGCTGTTACTCTGTGCAAGCCAGGAGAGAGGGAACAGTCATGTTTTCTGAACAGGCTAGTTTCAATCAGCATGATAATACATTCCCTCTGCTTTAATCCTTACCCAAAAGAAGGAACCTGATATTAACTCATCAGTTATATTTCTATCAGTCTGTCTTCTCATCTCCCTTTAGGAGGAAGATAACTTTGAAATGATCAATCTGCTTCTTGTTCTTTGTTTATGTTTTCTTTAGCCCTCCTCCATCTATAAAACCAATTTCTTTCTCTCGGCTCATTGAAACACTCTGTTTCATAGAATAAAGTTTTGCCCAATTATGGAATTACAAAGAAGCCCATTAAGATTATTAAATTAAGTTGTTGCAATTTTTTCATTTCATAAGAGGTAGTGAGATAACACATGGCAATCATGAAGCGTAGTCTGTGAAATACACAATAGTATTCAAAAGACGCTCTCTCTCTTCTCCCCCCAGTCCCCTCAACATGCACACTTCAGATCATCTTAAATTTCTTTCTGTGGTTATAAGAACATCCTCAGCCTGAGGAGACAGATAGCAATCTAGCATAAAACCTGACTTGGCTTCAGTTTTTTCAGCACTAACAGCTTAGTTTTACCGCCATGAGTGTGTATAGTCTGTTCTTACTCCCTGGGACACCTTGCTTCAGCTTTGTGTTATTCCTACCCGCTCCAAAGCTAGAAAGCCCCTAAGGCCAGCTTTGGCAGAGAGATTCTTCTAGTTCTACAGGGTGTGTCTGTCCATTTACTGCATTTCTGTTTAGATGGGAAACTTCAGAAATGACTGGAATGCTCTTTAAAAACCGCTCTCAATTCTCGCTTGTCTGCTCAAATTTTTTATCTTTGACACACCCGTCTTCAAAGTGGTTTTAATGTTGGCAATTTACAAAGGACCCCAGAGTCATTTGTTTTTGCCTTTATAAGTGTACAGGCTTTGATGGAAAGTTTAGAGATGACAATAACATGCTATCCATAGCATTTGTTCTAGATTTTGCTCTTCTGATCTGGTCAGAGAGAGGGCTAGCTGCCGATTTAGGGCATGACGGTATCGCACATACAACATACAGAGTCATGCTTCTTCATTTCCTTCATGTCTACTCCACCAAAGCAATCGATTATTGGAAGTCCAGGATTCCAGTCTCCTTGTTACCCCAACAAGCTCACTGATCCAACTAAATCAGAGAACTTTTTCTATAAAGAGCAAAATGCCAATTTCTTAGGGTCTGTGGGTCACATGGTCTGTGTTTCAACTACCCAGCTCTGCCCTGACTATCGCCTTTATGGATGATATGTAAACAAGGAGGCATGGGAGGGTTCTAATAAAACATCATTTACCAAATAATGGTAAGGCTGGACTTAGTTGGCAAGCCATAGTTAGGCAATACCAGATTTAAATCATAGTGAAATGCATCTGCAATGCAGAAATTTAGGCAAAGACAGAAATGAACAATAAAAAGTAGGTAGTTCATTACAGCAATCAAATTCAATGGCATTGGAATCAGCTTCCCTGGGTCAAGGTTGTAGGATCTGGAGCAAGTAAATGTCAGCTTCTTTATCTGTAAACTAAGAATAATTCTAGTGTATTTCTCATATAGTAACAGATAATTAAAAGAAATTATCCAGGCAAGATCCAGAAACCTAGTCTGGTAGTTTAAGATGCTGTAACAAGATGCTGTAGACTGGCGGCTTAAATGCTAGACCTTGATTTCTCCCAGCTCTGGAAGTTGAACGTTGAAGATTAAGGTACTAGTAGATCCCATGTCTGGTAAGGACATTCTTCACCTTTTCCTACCCTCACGTGGAGAAGAGAGAGAGGGAAGGAGCAATTCTCTTCTAATAAGGACACTAATCCCATCATGAGGGTTCTACTCTCATGACCTAATTATCTCCCCAAATACCCATGTCCAAATACCAAATACTATCACACTGGAGGATAGGATTTCAACATACGCATTTTGCGAGTTAAGGGTGGAATGCAATCATTCAGTCCATTGCATCTAGGAAGCACTCTGTGTTTGTGAGCTGTCAGAGAGAAGTAGCAGAAATCAGAAAGCCTAGGTTTGAAGCCTGACTGTGGCATTATTTACTATGAGACTGTAGGTAGCTATTTAATGTCTCTGTCCCAACTTCATCTGTCATAACAGTTCCTATCTTTTAGGAGTGTTGTAAGAATTAAATGAACTAATACATAGAAAATGCTTAGCACAGTGCCTGACATAATTATTCCAGATGCTACTTTAAAAATTATTATAAAAAAACAAAAAAATAAAAAAGAAAGAAAAAAATTATTATTATTATTAATAAATCAGTATCTCCTCCTCTGAAACAATCACTGTTAGCACTTTTTACCTTTTCTTTGCAGTAATTTTATATATTGGGTGTCAGAACAGTCATGATGTATTCTTTTTTCTATGTTTTTCTACACAAAAATGTGTCATGACTTTTCTGATGACCCATGACGTTAGTCCTGACCAGCCTTTCATACTTTTCACAGTAAGCAGCTATGGCCAAGACTTCGCAACTTGAGTAACTACTATCTTAATTTGGACTTTCCAATGAGGGACACTGCTCCCTTACGATGTGGGGTCTTTTCCCAAATGGAAAACAAACTATTATAATGTGATGCCTAGGACCAGTCTCCTCCTTCTCTTCCAGATGTGTGGTGGCTAAGGGCTTTGTATACTGCCTGAGATGATAGATTAATACACATAAAGTCAGTCAAGCTATCAGGAAACTAACACCAAACCTTGAGTAAGGAGACCTGTGTTTAAATCCCAGAACCCTGGCTTATTTGTCTGATCTTGAGCAATTCAGTTTTCATCTGTGAGCTTCACTTTCATGACATTTAAAATAAAGACACTTACATTAACTTTACTAACTTGCTGTACTTCTTGGGAGGCTTCAATAAAAATATGTACATTGATGCACAAATTAAAAACACAGCCAACTGCCTTACAGTAGGTGTCAATTAAGGATAATAAAATAGGACGTGTATGTCAAAACACCTAGTATACTGCATGTCACTTCACAATTGCTCAAAATTATTTGTTGACTTTGTTTCTGGAGTAACCATTTCTGTATTGACCCAAGACTTTGGTTACTTGTCAACTCTTCCAAGAAGCATTTCTAGACCCCCTCCTCCAACCTCCTCCTCAGCTAGAATTGACCTGATTCAGTAAGGGGCACCATTATTTTTAAAACAATGTAAGTTGTTTTCAAATTTGAGGTGGGATTTGCTTTTGTAAAAAACAATTTCATGAGAAACATCTTTAATATGAAGCTTTCTCCACATTTAGGGATTTGTTTTCTCTCCCATCACTTAGGATAGATTCCCTGAAGTGGAATTTCTGGGCCAATATTTTTTAAAATTTAGTGATGTAGTTTCAAATTGCTTTCCAAAAAGTTTATACTAATTTTCACTTGTATATCAGTTGTGTACCTTGAATTTTTCTTAACCCTAATATATTTACCTCCTGTAATACCAGTAACACTAGATCATACTTTTCCCATGTTTCCACTCAGGCAACTGGGAGAACTCGGGGCCAATTTTGTTGACTGTTGTCAAAGCGTGAATGAATGAGAGATAACATAGGAAAGACAAAGGAGAAAGAAAGAAAGAGAGAAGGAAGAAGGAAGATAAGAAGGAAGGAAGGAAAGAAGAAAGATGAGAAGGAAACAGAAGAAAGGAGAGAGAGGAAGGCACATATGGAAGACAGTGCAGAACTAAAGAAAATTAATATGGAAAGGAAAGAGTTTCTGGCTTTAGCTTCCAGCACTAATTAAGGCCTCGTATGGAGTACTTTTCCTCGAAGAGAGGAAGGGCAGCGTGTCACATACCATAAGGCGCATATACATGAGTAAATAAATTGCCGACCAATACATTTTTAAAGGGAGCCCATTATGCTTATTTATTGAAGCTTTCAAGTGTTATGTTGGATCCTGCAATGAAGTAAATTATTAAGCATCTCTATATCTACCCTGAAAAATAGCATGGCTACTCCTTTTGAGCCTTCTCTTTCCATTCTGATTCTTTCTTTTCAGGTGCTGGGAGCCATTCTTTGTGATATCTGTCACCAGAGCTCCTCTTAAGAAATTGTCAGTGACCACCCACTCCGTGTTTGCAAGAACTCTGATATTCAGAAATCCTGAGACCGATTGATATCAATGTTGAAAATCAAAGTAATGCTTATCATATTTATTTTCCTACGACCCCCCCCTTCCCTTTTCTCCTAGTTCACTTCTTTTCTATCACTTTTTTTTTTCTTTTTTTGGAGAGGTTTTTGCTATAGGGCGCGTGCGCTCGCCAGACAAACAGAGAGAGACAGAGAGACAGAAAGCGAGAAATCACCCCCCAGGGGGGATGGCCACGCCACAATCCCTTCTCCTCCATTCTCCTCTCGGGATCTTGGGCACGCACGCACACGCGTCTGGCATGAGTTTAAGCCACCGGGTCTGGGACTCGAACCGTGGTCGACTACGTGGGAGTCCAGCGACATAGCCATTACGCTAACTGCTGGTCCCTCTACCACTTTTTCATAGTTTCTCATCAAAGAAATGTGTTTTCTTTCCTAAGCCAGAAATTGGGTATAGCTGACCTGGAGCTTGAATGCAACTGCAGTTGTCAGTCATGTGGTTGCTTCCTCAACCTGCAGAGATTTCACTTTCAAAGTGAAGGCAAAAATAACTGCACGACTCAGTCAAATGAAAGGAAATGCAAGGACTAGTAAATTAGAAAAGTGCTCCAATCCTATTTTTATAAATGCTCTAACTCATTGATTTCAGTGGATTCAAGCCTTCTTTCTAATTCTATCACCCCCAGCTCCTCTGAAACCAGGTGGGCAAAGAGAGTGGTCTTCAAAGTCATGCCATCCCCTTCCCAGCCTGGCTTGATCATTTAGGAACAGGACGTCTATGCGTTCAACCTCACCCAACTTCATTTTTCTCAGATGCTAAAAGCGGCTATTAACCAGATTTATTTCATTAGATTGTTGTGAAGATGAATTAAAGTCAAGTACACGTGTTCATCCCAGCATGATCCTCCCTCCTCCCTGGGTGCTCACGCTTTCCCCATATATAGAATTCTATCTGTGCTTCACGGTACAGTTCAAATACCATGTCCCAGATGAATCATTCCCTGCCCCAGCTCTGACATCCTAGAGCAGCAATTACACAGACATCCATGTGGCTTGTCACCCATACTGCCCTGGGGTTCTTTGAGATGCTCCTAGGCCCAACACTTTTTATTTTTAATCCAGAATGATGGAGAGGTAGGTCCACCCAATAAAACAATGTTTTTAGCCTAGTTCTGAAGCAGGACAACTAAGCATAAGAATGGAGAGGATGAAGCAAGCAAATGCTCATAAGGGAGTGTTTTGTTTTTTTGTTTTTGTTTTTGTTTTGTTTCTTTGTTTTTCAAATAAGGCCTCAAGATGTCCCCATCCTCCCGACTCAGCCTCGGGACAACAGGTGAGACCGGGCATCTCCTACTTTCTACGTAGTTGAGATCTTTTCAGAGGGTCTAAGCTCTATTCCCTCAACGAGGACATAAGCTTTCCAAGCCGAGATCCAGTCAGATGCTTCTCTGCTTCTCCCCTCGGCACCTCCTGTAGTGCCTGCAGTGGAGACATTGGGAGTGTTCCAACCAACTTTGAGAGGTGTCTGGGATGGCAGTAAAATGTACTTGTTAAGCACGGAGGAAAATTTGGATAGAACAGATAGCATTTATTTGGTAAGACATTCGTAGCACTTGCTATCACATGAAAGCAACCCCAGGCAAATTCTTTTACTGAGGGAACATTACACTGCTTTTCCACTCATGCCTTTACCCAGCAAATAAAATGTTATCACCTACAATTCTATGGGTCTCTCAGCTCAGAAAGTTTGCACTCAAGTTGAAGAGAGAAGGTCGCTACACTCACAAAAATGACTCTCTCAACAGTACCCAGATCAGTGAAAATGAGAGGCCACTCTCGTATTTGATGAATGGTGTGACTCATCTCAGGTTTGGTTGGATTCTCATTAATTGGCCATGAATTTGTGTCTCTCATTTATCTAGGGGTTATTTAAGGGCAAGAGTTATGATCAATCATCTTTCTATCCCTATGTTTAGAACAGTGCTTGACATTCATTCACTCAATGCATTTTTCATTAGCACCTACTATGTGTTCGGCATAGTAGGCATCCATTCTGTCTCAACTCCTTCAAGGCCTTTCTTTAGAAAAGAAATGCATTTCGACTGTATTCACTTAAACAGTACACTTTTCAAAGCCCCCGCTATGGGCTAGGAAATGGTTATCTCACAAATCAGATAGAGACATTCTTGCCCTCGAAAGGCTTTCAGTCTGACATGAGCAGGCAGCTAGCTCTGAATCAGCATCCGGTGTCCTGGGGAACAACTGCATTTTACCTGAAGTCCCAGCCCCGCGCTCCTCCCCGCTCCCTGGTCCACCCTTACAGCCTTCTCCGCTGTGCGGCTCATCTGGGTTGCTGCCTCTCCTACCCTCTCTGAGCTGGCTTGCTCTCCGTTTGGTAAGCTGTGAGCGGTCTTTGGAAGTACAAGTCAGTTCAGTTTGGCTCTAGAGACCTGCCCTGCCCATTGACTTCCAGAGTGTGGGCCCCAGCTGCCTGCGAACAGGACAGAGCAGCAGGTGCTCACATCGCCCTTCTAAAGGGAGCCATGAATGAAGACGTGGCGGAACTTTTCTCTCAGTGAAAAGGTTTGCCAGGGGTCAGCCTTCCCACTACGGTAAGTGTTAGTCTGCCATTGTCTTCTCGGCAACAGAGCCTCTCTGGCACCCGTGGGTGAGGGGAGGAGTGCGTTAAAAAGCATTTTTTAATTAGGCAATTATGACAATTAAATATTTGAGGCTGAGGGTTCCTGATCCTTATTTGATTTCCACTTTAATTTCCTAATAATGTACGTCTCTGTTCTCATTGTAATCTTTCCTTTTGAGTCTGTGTGGGATCCGTTTGTTCAGGATAATTGCTTCTCTAAGGCGCTCTCTCATCACGTTCACAATGATCTAACATGGGGGGGACGCACATTTACTGTCAGGAGGAAAATTTTTAAAGAGTGGTGAATACCAGCTTCCTCATTATGTCCCATTAGTGACAATGAAATAAAGAGGTGACAAGAGGAAAATGTAGCTCTGACAGTTCTGATCAGAAATTACTTCAGTGTTTCCTCTTTGTCATGGCTCCTGAACTCAAGATAGAACCAGAGAGGCCAAGAAGAGGTGAGACAGCCACCAACACTCCACGGGTGCCTCCTAAGGGCTAAACTCCCTGCTGGATGCTCTGAAGACACGGCCCACAGTTCCCCAGAGAGACTCTACCAGGAAGGAGAAGAGGGGTGTGCTCTCTGTTCAGGGTGAAGAGCAAACTGGGGACCCAGCTGTAAGCAAGGTATGCCTGAGCCCAGGGCTGTGACCCCCAACCCCATAGTGCCACTGTCTTGACCTTGACAAGGAAGGTTTGTGACTTTGAGCAAGTATTTAGCCCCTCTGCACCTCAGTGCCCTTATCTGTAAAGTAAGAGTTGAAAAGACGCTCTCTGTAAGAACTAAGCTGAGTATATAAGATAGGTAAACAATAGCTTGAGAATTCACAGAATCGTTGTGATCATCACTGAAGCAGACAAGGTGCCTGAAGCACTATGAAGTCGCATCATGGTTTGACCCCTGAGACCCAGGAGAGGCATCTGGAGGGCGGCAGGTGGGGTTCCCCAAGCCCCCAACTGTGAAGGCCCTGGTGGCGCTCAACTTGGGCTCTCTGAATTCGTGGCCTTGCACAGGCTGGGAGCTGGCACAGGATCTCCGCCAGTGTCAGACGGGTAGGAATGAGGGACGGCACTGCCTGGTGCCCGTAAGGGGAACTAATCGTCGCAGACAGGTCAGCGAACAGAGACCCCATCATCCCGTAAGATGAGGGTGGAAGGCAGGGATCTGAGTATTAAAGCTCCGGGGTTCAAGGAAAAATTTAGTCACAGGAACAAGGCCCTAAGTCAGAACATGTCTGGCTCTGCCGACTGGCTGTCACCTGTGCCCCAGGTGCTGGGCTATGGGATGGGGGACGGGGACACTGCAGTACACAAGACAGAGCTCCTGCCCTCAGAGAGCTCTAGGACAAGGAGGCAGGAGAGTCAGCCCCGAACCACATTCTCTGCACTACGGCACAATAAACAATGCTTGCCGAAGCTCGGACATCAAAATCTTGGGAAGGATGAGAGAGAGGCAGTAGCTGGAATCACCAGCAGTTCATTGTTAGAACCACAACGTTAAAGTCCGAGAGTGATGAGGAGCCATGTTGCTACCATGTGGGCTCCCTGAAACCTCCTCTCCCTCCCTCGACTGGAAACAGGCCGGCAGGGCCAGGAGTCAAGGCCAAAGCTGGAAGTCCGCGGGTCTTGGCTGTGCCCTCTGTCCCCTACCCCCTTGCACAGTACTGAGTCTGCAGATGCTCTGGCCCACGTCGCTGTATCCTTGCCTCGTGCAAAGAGCAGGCAGAAAGGGAGGACCTTGAATTTCCCAGAGCTCCAGAGCCATTGTGACCACAACGCTGAAAATGCTTACCCAGTCGCCAGATTGCTGGCTCTGTGTCAGGTCTCGGTCAGGCTTTGTAGATCACCATGCATGGCACTGAGGATGGACACGAAGGGCACGTGGCATCAGAGACGCTTTCCGCACCTGCAAGTCAGGGGTGTGGTCTGAAGTGCAGAGACAGTGAGCAGTGAACACACACCAGCACACGCAGATAGTTCACAGGCACACAACCATGCGTTTGGGTCCACAGGGAGGCCCTTGCACTCACACATGAATTATTTCAGATGCATGCATGTGCACACACATGCACATGTAAACACGGTCACCACAATCCCAGTTGTATTGCAGCATCGAGCTGGACTGGCAGATCGAAGTCCATTCTACACCCAGCAGCCATCTTCACTCAAATGCTGTGTTCGCTGCAATTTTAAAAGGCTCATTACGATGCTATTTACCTGCATTTGTGCGGAGACAGTGTGATTAGTCCAGCCACAGAAGCAGTGGAGCCTGCCGGCCTGACTGCAGCCATCCCGCACACCCTGAGGAAACGGGCAGCACTCTGTCTCCACACCCGAGATAAATCCTTCCTAGCGGCCCTCTTGTTTGGTTTTTAAGGTTATTTCTTCCATGAGCAAGATAAACAAAGACAGAGACAGAGAGAGACAGCACCCCCAAAGAGTCTTGATTCCACGACCCATCTCTAGCCTCATTCAGTCCCAGATGATGTGCTCAGTGTCCTCAGGAAGGTCTCTGAACCCAAATCCAGAACCTTCCCACATGAGTCAGCCTTGTGGAATGTCACAGTTTACCACTGGGCCACTGTCCAGCCCTTGCCCTCTTGTTTTGACACCCAAACACACTAAAAAGCCCATGACGATGGAGCAAGAGCCTTAAACCTAGTACCAGGACTTTGAGTGCTGTTCCTTCCTCTGTCCCTGCCTTGCTTTGTGGCTTTAGTGGACCACTTCCCATCTTCACACCACCATCTATAAAATGAGGATGTTGAGGACCAGCCAGGTGGCGTGGTGGTTAAAGTAGCTGGATCCCACATGGCTGAGTGCGCAATTCGCGACCCAGTGGCTTGGAAAATATGCCAGGCATGTGTGCATGCACGTCCAAAATCCCGAGAGGAGAATGAAAGAGAAGGGCTTGTGTCATGGCCATCTCCTCTGTGAGGAGATTTCTCACTTTTCCTCTCTCTCTCTCTCTCTCTCTCTCTCTCTTTCTCTCTCTCTCTCTCTCTCTCTCTGTCTCTGGGGAAGGCATATGCCCTATAGCAAAAACTAAAAACCAAAAATAAAATGAGGGTGTTGGTCTAGATTCTAAACTATCTATGTCTCAACAACTACTAGAAAACTTAAAAAATGTAGATTCATGGGTTCTAGACCTCCTGAATACTAATTCCCCTGAAGAGGACCCAGGAATAAGTTTCCAAAGAGATTTCATTAATTTTCTGTGAGCCCAAAATAGGGTTCACAGAATCAAATGTTCCTAAAGCCTCTTTTTGGCTGTATCTTAGTTTGTTACTGCATAGATAGCAGAAATAGCTTAGATTGGGTGATTTATAAAGAAAATACGGGGTAGGACCAGCAGTTAGTGTAATGGCTACATCACTGGACTCCCATGTAGTCAACCGTGGTTCGAGTCCTGGACCCGGAGGCTTAAACTCACGCTGGGTGCATGTGCGTGCGTGCCCAAAATCCTGAGAGGAGAATGGAGGAGAAGGGATTGCAGTGTGGCCATCCCCCCTGGGGGATGATTTCTCGCTTTCTGTCTCTCTGTCTCTCTCTCTTTCTGGCGAGTGCACGAGCCCTATAACAAAAAATCCCCTCAAAAAAAAAAAAAAAAGAAAAGAAAAGAAAATACAGGGTTCTTTGCAAAATTTGTGATTCTGATGGCTGGGAAGTCCAAATGTGTCATAAAATGGAAGACAGAACTTTTGGCTGAGCAGAGCATGGTCTGTACCCATGTGACTTTCTGTCTACTGTTCCGATCCCAATTCCTCTGTTTATAGGCCCTACCAGAGCTGCACCGTGGGTGTCCTACTCTAAGGATATTATCACACCTAAAGGCCCCATCCTGGACACCATAAAGCAATTAAGTTTTCCCCAATGACCTTTACAATACCTTCAGTATAGTCAAGTTCCAACATGTGAATTTCTGAGAGACATCCAGTTCCCTCCCACTAAGACCAAATTTCAAAACATGAAACTTTGGGGGACAAACCATTATCAGAACCATAACAGGTTTGTGATTCTCTAAGTACAATTTTCTTAATGTCAGGTTCTTTCCACTAACATGGGAGCCTAGATGTAGAGTTTTCTAGACATGCTCTGTATGTGTTATCTATTATTGTATAGCTAATGATCCTAATGCTTAGTGGTTTATAACCACAATAAATATTTATTATCTCTTACAGTGTCTGTGAGGTAGAAATTCAGGAGTAACGTGGGTGGGCAGCTCCGGTATAACAACTGTTATAAGCTGCAGTCAAGGTGTGGTCTACAGTCATCTGACGGCGTCACCTGGAAGCCTTCAGGATGAATCCACTTCAGGATGGCCCACTCATGTAGCAGACAAGTAAGTGCTGGCAGCTGGCGGAAACCATTAGCTCCTTCCCATGTAGGCCCCTCCGTAGGGGTGCCTGAGTGTTCTTATAATATGGTCCTGACTTCCCCATATGTTAGTCCATTCTGTCGTTAATGAAATACCTGAGTGTGGGTAGTTTGTAAAGAATGTGGATTTATTTAGCACACAGTTTTGAAGGACCAAGGTCAAGGGCTACATCTGGTGAGGGTGTAATTGCTGCTGGGGACTTCCTTGGGGAGTCCCAAGACAATACATGTCATCACATGTTAAGAGAGTAGGCATGTGTTCACGTGTCTCTGCTCTGATTTTTTTTCTTTTTTTTAGAGAGATTTGTTTGCTATAGAGTGTGTGTGCTCGCCGGAGAGCTAGAGAGAGACAGAGAGACAGAAAGTGAGAAATCACCACCACCACCACCCCCGGGGATGGCCACACTCCAATCCCTTCGCCTCCATTTCCTTTCAGGATTTTGGGCACACATGCACATGCGTGCAGCATGGGTTTTAAGCTGCTGGATCTGGGACTTGAACTGCTGTCAACTATGTGGGTGTCCAGTGATGTAACCATCTGCTGGTCCCCGTGTCTCAGCTCAGATCTCTCTCTCCTAACTACTGGGAGTCAATTGTGGGGGCTCCACTCTGATGACCTCATCAATCCTAAGCACATACCTAATCACACGCCACCTTAGTACCAAAACTTGATTAAGTTTCCACCCACTTAACACCATTAAATCATCTTATCGGGGCCGGCAGGTGGTGTGGTGGTTAAGGACACTAGACTCTCAGGTGGCCAACCACAGTTTGAGTCCTAGACCTGGCAGCTTGCTTTCTTGCTTTCTCTCTCTCCCTCTCTGGTCAAATTAAAAAATAAAAGAATAATTAAGAAAATAAAGTTAAATAAAATAATTCTTTTAAAAAAAAATCATCTCATCAGGACCAGCAGTTGGTGTAATGGCTATGTCACTGGACTCCCATGTAGTCAACCACAGTTTGAGTCCAGGACCCGGTGGCATAAATTTATACCAGGCACGTGTGCGTGCGTGCCTGGGATCCAGAGAGGAGAATGGAGAAGGGATTGCAGTGTGGCCATCCCCCCTGGGGGATGATTTCTCTCTTTCTGTCTTTCTGTCTCTCTCTGTCTTTCTAGCGAACACACGTGCCCTATACCAAAAACTTCTCCCCCCAAAAAAAAATCATCCCATCAAATTTTAACACATGAATTTGGGGGGCGGGGGCAGAAACATGCAAACCATAGCACCTCAGTATCTTAGAGACTGAGGTAGAAGCCGTGATGCCTTTTATAACCTAGCCTTGGAAGTCATAACCTCTACCCTCGCGGTAATCTATTGGCCACACAGATCAGCTCTGGTGCAGAGTGGGAAGACAGTCCATGGGCCAGTGGGGATCACGAGGTCAGTATGGGAAAGAAGCACTGTGAAGCCAGGCCACACAGCTATCGATGCACGGATGACACCGAAGGACAAGCCTGGGCATCCTACCTTCGACGCTCGTAAGCTCTGGAAAACCCCCGATCTGGTACGAGTATGCTTAAGGGCCCACATACCAATCCCTACCCTGTGTTTATCTGCCCTTTGACTTTACACACTGCACGAGAGAGCAGGGTCTCCCACTTACAGACAGCTCTTGCTGGGGTGAGATGTTCATTTTACGTTCTCCCCAAAGCCACGGGTAGCGACACCAGACCTGAGCCACTGCCCCAGCTCTCTGCAGCAGGAGAGAAACCAAACACTGCCTCAGTTTCCCCTACTATTCTGATAGTGGCTTTGCTTCTCCTGATTCTATCTCAAGATTTGACCCTGGGCCCATTATGTATGGTGCTTGATTTAACCTCAGAATAGCCTTGACAACTTCATGTCTTTATCCCCATTTCCAGACAAGAAAATCTGAGACTCACAGAGAATAAATGCCTTCTGGAAGTCACACAGCCTTTCAGAAGAGGAACCCGAGTGGTCTGGCTGCAGCCCCAGGCAGAGGGCACTGAGAACGCAGGCTTTCAGCTGCCTCCACACCAGCAGGCCACCCAGCGAGCACGGACAGCAGCACTCACGTCCACCAGCAGGGAGGGCCACCTGGAAGTCCTTCCAGGGCACAGGTCATGGCTAAGCAAGGGGTTTAGAGTTTCTCGGGACAGGGCGCCTCCCCACAGAGGCTGGGCCCAGACCTGGTGGCGGAGGGTCCTTAGATGCCCAGCACGAGGGGCCAGGGCAGAGGTCAAGTCTCTTGTAACCAGAGAGCCCGGCTCTGCTGGGGCCACGCGTGTCAACGTGCTAATATTTCATGATTGCGACTCGGTCTCTCACTTCCACGTTCCCTCCAGGGCCATTGGTGCAAAGCGATACCTGCCGGCTGCACTCCGATTATTTTACAGCCCTCCCCGCTCCAGCTGCACCCGCCTCTCCTCTGGTTTCTTTTCCCTCCTAGTTCCCAGCAGGTGGGGTGGGGGTGGAGGCATTAGAACAGAGGGGCAGGAACGTAGGAAGACATGACCTTCACTTTTCTACCACCCTCTGCCAGGGAGGTTTGAGACGCAGCCGTCCTGGCAGGAGAGGCAGTGTCTGTTTACGCGGTACCTACCTGCGCCAGGCCTTCCGAGGACTCTGTGTACAGAACGCACCAGATCCCCACGCAGCCTGGGCAGTGGGGGAAGGCTTCGAGCTGTCTGCTGCTGAGTCTGCCTAGGGCAGAAGGAAGACTCTGGGTGGCCGAGTCAAACAGGACACAAGAGACCACTCTTGTCCAGTGTTCACATTTTTCAGAGGAGCCTCTCCTCCCTAAGGCAGATGGCTTTGCAGTCGCAGTCAGGCTGAGAGGTCAGCTTTCCACCCCCCGGTACCCACCGTCAACCCCCTCACTCGAATCCATCCCAGATGGGAGAATGCTGAGGAAAGCTTGGGGCAGAGTGGGCCCGGCTACGTGAAGAGAAAGTTCATTTGAGCAAATAATAGAAAAAGTGGCCAACATGCCAAACCTATAATTAAAAAAAAAAAGATTTAATTTTATTTATCATTGTTATTATTTTTCCATTTACTATAGGATACATGTGCTCACCAGAGAGAGCCAGAAAGAAAGAGAGACAAAGAGAGAGAAAGTGGGAAAGCAACCTGCTGGGTCTGGGACTCTAACGGTGGTTGGTCAGGTGGGCGTCCAGTACTTTAACCACCATGCCACCTGCTGGTCCCAAGCCTACAATTATTTTTTTTTTAAATATACTTTATGGTTTAGGATGAGGTAAGATGTAGTAAGCTTTTTCTTTAAAAAAAAAAAGGGGGGGAGTTAAATATGTTTAATTGACAAAAAAAATTGAAAGCTATTTGCTGATGATAATGTATATAGTAATGTCTTTGTCTTGACTGATATGCATGGTATTCGCGCTGGAAAAAGCAGTTTTACACTGTAAAGATATATGTGATTAAATGTAAATTAATTTTTTTTTTTGGAGAGGTTTTTGCTATAGGGCATGTGTGCTCGCCAGATAGACAGAGAGAGACAGAGAGATAGAAAGTGAGAAATCACCCCCCAGGGGGGATGGCCACGCCGCAATCCCTTCTCCTCCATTCTCCTCTCAGGATCTTGGGCACGCACGCACACGCGCTGGGTGTGAGTTTAAGCCACTGGGTCCGGGATGCGAACCACGGTCAACCACATGGGAGTCCAGCAACATAGCCATTACGCTAACTGCTGGTCCCTAAATCTAAATTAAAATCTTAAAAAAAAGTTTTAAAAGAGTGGATTGTTAGAAGGAAAAGTATTAAGTTATCAGGCCAATGTATGAAGGTATGGCAAAACATCACACCAATGGCCAACAGCTGAAGTTGGGAAGGTGCCAGTGCAGGGCACGGGATTATGGCCACAGAACTCTGTTCAAATCCCAGCTGTTGGTCAGATTTAAATAAATACATAAAGTAATTCTTAAAAAAATGAAGAAGAATGACTTTAACAAACAAACAAACAAACAAAAACATGGCTGTTTACTAGTTGCCTGGTCCTGGGCCAGTCCAACCTCTCTTTCCACTCCTGTGGGGTGAGAATAGCAGCTTATTGTGGGGTGCAGACTGCATATGGCACACCAAGCCCCACGACTCACTCCCTCTGCTGCAGTGTGTGATGAGGTGAGGGCCAGCCTGAGGGGCTACTTGGGCCCAGGTGGGGTGGGTCTGGAGTGGCCAGTCTGCACTTGGTGGAATGTGAGCTGTGGGAGCCGCAGAGGCAGCTATGGGGCTGGGCCTGAGCTGCAGCGGCGGCCTGGTTGCCCTGGAGGTG